TCTCCCATGGCCCCTGCTCCAGCCGCTGGCCCCCAATTGCCGCCCCCCCCACCCCGCCACTCCAATTGGAGGCGGTCCACCAGCTAATCTCCTACAGCACCTCTCCCCAGCCCACTAGCCCTGATTGCCCCTATGGGGCAGGCCTGCAGGCCAACCTCCCTCATCTCCTCCTCCCCACACATGCTCAAATTGGTGCACTGGGCCTCTAGTGACATTATAAACATCCAAATTGCCTTTGGCAGAAAATTGCTTCTTCATCACTGCAATTTAGCTTCATCACTGCTAAAACAAGAAGCGCCAATTTTCTTAACCTTCTGGTTGACCTGAAGTAGTTCTTTGGGCGGGGAAAGTTGGGCGGGGAAGGGAGTGTGCACAGATGGAAGACTTCTTGCCCAAGTAAGGAACCCCTGGCTGCCATTGGAAGCGGGGCGCTGTGGCCTTCTGGGCTGTATCCCCTCCCCGTATCAGGTGGACAGAGGGCCTGTGGGACTCAGAGAACTGCCGTGTTAAGGGCCCCAGACAGAGCTAGACATGGTAGCTCCAACTCCAGCATTCCGGGGCCCCAGAGAGCGCACACTCCCATTCCAGGGGCTCAGGTCCCCAAAACAAGGTAGAGATACCAACTTTCAAAGACATTCCGGGAAAGACCCCGCCTCCCAATATCCTCAGAGAGGCGCGGATTTCTCCAGCAGCTAAAGTTTCTCAAGTTTGGACTTCCCAGAGCCCTCCCTGCAGGGGATCCCCCCAGGAGGGCCGTTCCCAGACTCCAGAGTCTGAGCAGAGATATGATCCAACAGGGACACTGAACCCCACGCAGCCCCCCCTTTCAAGGGCCCCCACGGAGGAAGAGCTTGCGAACCCTGCACTCACCTGAGCGCCTCTACACACTCTAGGAGGCGCCGTCAGTCAGCCCCGGGCTGACCCACCACCTGTTTCTGCTCCGCGCTCTCCCTCCGAGTCCCAGTCCCTCTGCGGACACTCCCTCCCACCGGGCTCTCCCTGCCGCCTCCCTTGGCCCCAGCGTGTGGGGCGCTGCAGCCCAGCACCTGTTCCCAGCTCAGGGTCCTGCAAGGATGCTGGAAACGACGAGTTTCCCAGGTCTACATTCTGCACACCCTCTTCCCCTGCTCCCAGCCTTGCTGTGTGACCTCCATCCGGCAAGTAGCTGCCCTTCTGAGTCTCAATTTCCAGCCCAACTTTAGGGGCGGCGGAGGGGACCTTGCGCACCTACCGCTATTCCCTGGACTCGCGCGCAGTGCCGCGCTGCTGGCGGCCTCTCCCTCCGACAGCTCCGGGGCTATGGTGAGCCTGGGATGGCCAGTGACTTGGCCACGCTGCCTCCACCCCCTGCAGCTGCCCTTTTTCTCTTTCATTTTCATTCTCCTCCGCGAGGCTTGGACCAGACCGGGGAGTAAACAGGCATCCAAGCCTCCCCCTGCTGCGTCTACCACGTGGCTTCTCAGAAGCACCTCCGTGGCACCCCTGGGCGCCTCCAGGGCGTCCCCTGCTGCGGGGCGCCAGCCTGCCCACGGGCATGCGGTCTGCACGCCCTGGCTCGCAGGGAGTTCATCCCTCGGTTTCTGTCTAGCTCACCACCGTGAAGGCAGCAGACCACGCTGCAGGGCATGTGAACCAGAGCCTGCTCCCTGAGCTTTACTTCCAGGAAGCTGGGTGCCCTTGGGGGGCGGGGCGGGGGTGGGGGTTTCAGGGGGGAGAGAAACAAAGCCTCAGGGACCTGCACTGGAGGTTCAGCCCAGCAACCTGGCATTTCCAATACCACACCCCCTGCCGCGTGACTCTTGCCTTCCTCCTCCAGGATCCTGGACTCCTGCCCCGCCCACCCTGAGACCTTTTGGGCGGCTGGGGGGAGGGTTGCAGTGTGGGGAGGGTACTTCCCTTCCCAGGCTTGGATTTCCTCACCTGGAACTGAGGGGGTGGGTCAAAGTGGCCCCTCTAAAACTCCCCCAACATCCCTGCCCATAGCTCAGTTGGTTAGAGCATCCACCTGATACGCCAGGGTTGCCGGTTCAGTCCCTGGGCAGGGAACTTACAAGAACCAACCTATGAATGTGCAACTATGTGGAACCCCAAATCAACAACCCTCCCCTCAAATCAATAAATAAAAAAATTTTAAAAGCAAACAAACTTCTTCAACAAGTTCTGGCTGCATCCCACAGAGCTGGCAAACTTGTCATAACCTGGGGTGCAGAGGAAGCCACACATTCAGTGGTATCTGAGCCAAGGAGTCCCGCCACTTCCCACCACACAACAATGGCCACACCAATAACGACAGTCAGTTCCTACAATGTGCCAGGCACTGGGCTAGGCCCTTTAATCTCTCACCATTGTCCTGTCAGAAGACACTTCCCCGTCTCCCATTTTACAGCCCAGGAAAACAGCCCCAGAGAGGGCTGGCGACAGGTTCAGTGTCACACCGCAGCCAGCCCACCGTGCGGCCGGGATTCAAACCTGTGCTCTGACTTCAGAGCTGGTGCAATTGTCTGTACTACGCTGTCTCTTGCCACCTGTTCCCTGTCCCCCCACTCCTCCCCCAAAACACCACTTGGAAACTGGGGAGAGGGCAGCGTCTGTCCAGGGGCCAGCTGGCTGAGGCTCAACAACTATACCAAGGGGCTGACTCTGGCTTTGGTTTCCCTGCTTCTCAGAGGATGGGGTGCGGTCTGGCAGGAGTCCCGTCCTTCAAGGGCACCCCTCAGTGTTTACCTGGCAGCTAGAGGGCCTTGTGATTGGCCAAGCCAGGCCACCAATGCTGAGAACTAACAACACACCCTCTGAAAGTGGGCCCTCAGAACTCTTCAAGGGCTGATAAAACCCCTCACATCCCAGGCATCTGGACTGACTGCCCCTCAAGTGGAAGGAAACGGCCAACCACCTCACTTCTTCCAACAGCTATAGCTAGACTAGGGCCCTCTCTCTTACCCTCCAAATCCCCCCCTCCAAAGTGTGTCTGTTTATTTGGGATGGCAAGACCAGCTGGGACCACCCTAAATTAAGAAACATCCTCAACTTCCTCCACCCACTTTCTTACCTTGAGACTCTGGCAGGTAGGACTCCGCAGGGCGTGGAGCCAGGCAACGCATGGTGTGGGAGATGCAACGAGTACTCCTGGTAGCCTCAGCCTGCCCAGTGGTGCTTTCGGGTGCTCAGCTCAGGAGCAGGCAGCCTCATCTCTAGCCTGTTTCCTTACAGCAGTCTGGTCAGGACAGGAGCCCGCCAAGACCAAGCCAGCATGCAAAGAAAGCAAGCAAGGGACCAGCAGAAAACTCTTCCCCTACAAGGTGGCTTCAAGCTCTCAGATCTCTCTCTTCTAGACACCACCTAATTTGTCCACACTCCCTTAAAGCCCAACTCCCCAGCCTCTGTTAATTTCAGTTCCTGTTTGTGGACAAAAATGGGGTGACTGAAGGAGGTTGTAAAGTTGTTTGTTGGGCTGCCCTTCAATACACTAACATTCTGAAATGATGGAGACCACAGTGGTGCCAGATGCCAATATGTGCCGTACTCTGCAGGATGGGGCCAGGACTAGAGATGCCCAAATATCCTAGATTCCACTCCCCTCCACCACTACCCTGAATTTCCCTGCACAGCATGAGTGGTTTGCCCATCATTTTATCCCAAGACATTGAACTGAAACATAAATTATAAAAAGGTGCTACCCAAAACATGGGGTATGTGCCCAGTGTTTGGAGTGACACGCAGATGTGGTGGCAAATAGCTTTGACTCGCCCAAGGAGAAAGTTAGTGCCCTTCCAAGTCCCTGCCCATGTTCCTGAGGACATCAAGGAGACAGCCTCAGTTTGGGGCTATGTCTTTAGCACCTAATGTCTGAGGTCCCCATTTCACAGAGAGCAGCCCCCAGCCTCAAGCCTTCGGTAGACAACAGTATTTGTCTAGAATCAAACAACATTGCTCTCTTTTCCTATCTCCTGTGTGGCATTCTTCTTCATTTATGACAGACACACACTCTCCTTAGGAAATAAAGTTGAATAAAATATGTAAGTGGTTTGAAAGAAACTGTCAAGTAAATACTAGTGTAGGTGATAGGCAGACATCATGAGGGTGGGACTGAAATGAAAGAAGTTTGGGAAACAAGCACTTAAGAGCCTCATGCATTTTTACTGAAAGTGCACTGGGTTGGGCCCGGCCAGTGTAGCTCAGTGGTTGAGCATCAACCAAGGAACCCAGAGGCCACGGGTTCCATTCCTGGTCAGGGCACATGCCTGGGTTGCGGGCTCAGTCCCTTGTGCTGGAGGCAGTCAATTGATGTTTCTCTCTCATCAATATTTCTATCTCTTTATCCCTCTCCCTTCCTCTCTCTCTAAAAAATCAATAAAAACATTTTTAAAAAAGAAAGAGGGAAGTGAGGCAGTATATATGGAGTATCTTTCTATCAGATGACAGATATTTACTGTCATTTAATGCTTATGATAATTGATTTTAAAGACTTCAGGGCTACGATTCCAAAGATTATCTTTCTTTTTAT